AATATGATGACCCTTTTAAAAGTTACAAAATATATCTGATTTTTTTTAATACAATTTAATCAATAAAAAAAGAAATATTCATGTTACGTCTCGTCGTAAACGTTTTTCATCACATGTAAGGTACATATCTATTTGGAATATATAAAACTTTTAGATACATAATATATATATATATATATATATATATATATATATATATATATATATATATATATATATATATAATATGTAGTGTTCGATTTTTGTATTTAAACATTTGCATATTCGAAACAAAATATTTTACATATATTATTGGAAAAGTAATTTTTAAAGGTGTTAAAAATTAATCGGCTAAGATTCGTGCAAAAAAATAAAATTATGTGTTTTACCTAGTTTGAAGAGCACCTCCCGTCCTCCCTCAATTGCGTGCACTAACACCGTCACCACTGATACCAGCACCACTACTCCCAACACTACATTAATACTACACTACATTAGGAAAGACACACCACCTTCGAAAATACGATACGTGTTTTGCCTCTACACGAGGTATTCTCAGGTGAAGTAGGCTCTAAGGAAGCGGTCAGGCAGTATTATTGATATAATCATATAATGCCGACAACTTTTTAAAAATTGACCTTTTTAAAACATCTCTTGTACTACGACATTTTCCATAGAGCAACGGGGCAGGGGCGGACTGGAGTACCTCAGTCGGTGGCCGTGTTGCTCTATGGAATTTTCTAAACTCATACAACAAAAGTAGAAAGGTACTCGTAGGCATTGCGGTCTTAAAATGAAAATGCATTCTTAAGATGAACATGAACTAAAAACAACAGTTGTTGACGAGTATATTTGCCTAGGACAAATTGTCCGACTAGGTAAGTCCAAATTCGATCGAGCCCAACCGAGTTGGATTCGTCAATCGACGGATCCAATTCGGCTGAGCAGCGTTCAGGGGATATCAAGTATACTATTTTCAAAACAAGCGAAGACAACCAATGCGTGTGGCCAGTGATATGGGTTTGAGATGTGGTCCTTCACTGTTGATAATATAAGGAATCTCATATTACAGAAGATTATGCGCCACTATTGTTTCTGCCCTTAATTAGTTTCGTGGAAGTTCCTCAGTGCCACAGCTGAAAAAACCTTGTGTATCGGTGGGATGAATTACTAATAGATATTACCACTGCCTTATAGTAGTTGAATTTTCCCGCCGTTAAAAGTTATTCAAATTAAAATAGGTTGAAGGAGTAAGGTGTGATAAGTACTTAAATAACGGAGTGTTTCTAGTTAAAGCCGAAAAATAATTTTATATTGGTTTATATAGTGAAGACATACAGTAGGGGACTAAAGCAATTGACAAAACTTAGTAGCAAGCTTGCAGTAAGTATATCATAAAGCTGTAATGAATAACATCGGCACCATAAATAATATTGATGTAAATAAATACTAACACAAATATAATAACATAAAAATACAAACATAAAAAATTTTTGCTTTCGGGTGTAACGAAGCTGCAGGAAAATTTAATTTTTTTAAAGTTGTTTGTTATAAGAATAAAATGAAATATTTCAATTTGAAGTTTATAATAACTGCCTCTTAAAGGAAGTAGTTTTACCTTAGCTATGGCAGATATTATCAATGGTACTGGCGCGAGGCCAAAATACCGAACATTAAAGCTGATGCAGCGAGATTCTATCACGCTCTACTTCTTTCAAGTTTACTTAAAATTTTGAGATCCTGTATTTAGATACAAAACTGGATGGCTAAGACATCCGACTTACTTTTAATAAAAAAAACTGTTTTTATTATTTCATCAAACCATTTCTTGACTTTTTTTTCGATAACTGTTTTTTTTTATAGAATTAGGATGACAAACGAGCACACGGTCCACCTGATGGTAAGTGGATGCTGTGGCCTATAGAAATCTACATTTAACCTCGCTTAATAATCAAAACGCAGATGCGTTGTCACCCCTGAGGACTAAAATGAAGTACATCATTTCAGTAAAAAGGGACTCCGGATCTCTACACTAACTATACGAAACACAGCAGTATTAAGCTGCTATTTTAAGCTGGTATTCTGGAGAGCGTGGTCCTTCTGCGGTCGAATCGACCTATTCGTGCTACAACCATAATATAGCTGCAGCATAGCTCTACTACGTACTTCTATTATAATAGGACAAAACAGTAAAGTAAGAGTTTTTTCTAGCAATACATTCAAACTATGATTTTATGTAATAGTTCTCTCTTTTTGTAAGAGTAATACTTCCGAGCTAGCGTTCCTTTTAACTACTTTAGTTTCCTTTAGGAAACTCGGTTGATAACTGAAAAATAAAAAAACTTTTTTAAACGGTTACTACTTTAGAATTTCAAGTTTGGTCAATAATGCCATAGATTTTGCCACTTTTGGAAAAAAATATACCGAATTTTCACCGCTTATAAGAAACGAAGTACTTGGTAAATTTTAATGAAGGTAAACTAATTAGTTTATATATCTCTAAAACTCTTAGAATGTATTTTTAAATGGATGCAGGTCATACAGTTTAAAAATTAAAAATATATTTAATTCGTTCACAACAGGCACATCGTCCCGTACATCGATGTAACTTCTTAATTGTATTATTACTGTACCGCTTTCTGTGTCAAGCCCTTTATCCAGCTAGCTCTCAATGCTGCTGCCATTTTAGTAGATACGAGGCATTCCATCTTAGTGTTCAAGGGTGACAACGCATCTTGATTTTTATTTTTAATCGAGGATAGTTGCAGATGTCTACGAGCCACAGCATCCACTTACTATGAGGTGGGCTGTGTGCTCGCTGTGTGCTCGCTGTGTGCTCGCTGTGTGCGCGCTCGCTTGCTAAAAGAATCTTATTGAACTTAACATAATATATTGACGACCTGTATTAGTATGCATTACGGACTGAAGTTTGTGGTCCAAGCACATCTCATGACTTAAACTTTCAACTTTTACTTTATAATACTTCTACGTCACTGTAACATAGAGGTGTATATGTTATAAAGTGGCATAATCTACGGCTTTTCTATATAAAATAGTAAGGTAAAAGTTGAGAAGATTGATCGTACATAGAATCGAATCGAGTTGTTAGTGTTGAGTTCCATTAATTAATACGAAAATCGTTATGCTAAACTGTCCATTGACATTGAGGTTTTGTAGTTGGCGTGTTTTGATAGAATCTTTAGATTAGTATTTGACGGAAAACTTGTACCCTATAAGCTAAATGTGACGTATTATGTGTGTTACTAATATATTGAATTAAATTAATTGAAAGATACATTGTATTCGTTTATACTACCGATATCAAATAATTATCGCTTGGACAAATTACTCGTATGTATTTGTTGACGTTCATACTGCCAATGGCTGAGTTTTAATTCTATATAGCATATATATGTTATTACTTTAAAGACAATGTCAACAACTTAATAGTCTGTGGTCAACCAGTTGCACAGAGTGAAGATTGTCGTCAAAGAATTTTAAAATTTTACGAACCAATAATTACTGGCAGATTCACTGAATAATCTGTGAATTTTGTGTGATTTTAAGTGTTCCTTTTTCAATGGTGTGTGGAGAGTATGCCAAGACAATAAACGCTTTTTTATTTTATATTTTGTGTATTAGAGATCTGTGTTTTATATATTAATGTGCAGTTGAGAGTAATATACAGCTTGCGTAATATATCTAAAAATTTAATGAATTACGGATGAGTAACGACCACGAGGCGACCTCTAGTTAAATATTATAGTGTATGCATGATCAGTAAACGAAGAGATTTGCGACGCCATGTGCTCTCAAATCAAATTCAAATAGTCTCCTACGTTTAATAGGAATGTATGTTTGAGGATTTTTGGCTGACGTCCAGGTTTGCTGGCCTAAATGCAAAGTAAATTCGCTCATATTGTTGTCAATTGGTTTTACAAATTAAATTATATTATGTATTTACCCTTTCAATTAGCATAGCGCTTATTAACGCCGTGTAGTTATTTAAGTTCGCATTTCAGAATAAATTGTTTTGGTTCACTGAAAATGACCTAAATTTCAGTGTATTTAATTTGTTTTGTTCGCCTTCTCTGGGGGTTGGTGGCTTGCGATGATTAAATAACCAAGTGATAATTATATTTAGCGTCTCGTGACTTGTATCGTACTTGCCGAAAATGTAACCTTAACTTGACGTTGACAAATTTTAACAAGGTTTCAGGCTTTTGAGGGTTCATTTTAAACATAGCTGAAATAAACCTTCTAACGCTGCTTCTTTATTAAAGGGTAACAAACCAAATGAAGCACAGAAATTTAGATTATTTTAAACGACCCTTTAAAATGATTAATGTGAGAGAATATTTCTCTTAAGAGTGAAATTCAATGTTTCCTCTTTAGCTTTTCCCTCCATAAGTATGCAAAATAAATCACATTGTATTATACTTTTTTATTTCGTATTCACAAAGCAACAAATGTGATCAAAACGAAATACTAAGCCTATGAAAAAGATTATGTGAGACATATTTATACAGCGGATTTAGTAAATCCCACAGGCGAACCGATGTGGCTGTATTACTGTCAATGTTTATGAATGATATTGTAATTTTCTTATACTTTTTCTAGTAATAAGAAAAATTTGGCGATTTCTCTGTATTATATTCTCTTTTTTATCCGATTTAAAAAAAAAAGGTGAAATATTTGACCTTAGCTCTGAGAAAGTTGATAATTTTGCAGGTTTTTAATCACTAATAAAATATACGTCCCACCGCTGATCACAGGTTTCTTCTCATTTTAAAAGATGGATAAAGAACACTTTTCCGTCGCGCTGTCCCAGTGTGTGTTTGCGGACTAAAATTGTATAAATAGAAAAATCAAATACGATGCATATTGAAGTTCGATGGTATTTTTAATTCCATCCAGTCATTTTGTTAAAATTTTGGGGATATTGGGAATTTATCACATAACTAGAATAGAATAGAAATAATTTTACTAACAAATTTTATCTTTTCATGCTAACCCTCCAGTGTCTTTAAAATGTAAGTATGTTTAATTCTTTTCCTTATTTCTAAGTAATATGTTTTGTTACAATTAATTACATAAAAAATTGGCTTCAGTAACCTTATTATAAGAAAATAGAATCACTTCTAATAAAATTAAAGTTATAATTTTTTTAATTATTAGGAATATGTTCATACCGAGTTAGTATAGAGTAATTTAAAAAAATCCAATAACGCCTCCATCTGCGCAGGACAGGATTACAATGCACATGTGTGTACGCACGTACAGGTGACACTATTCCCACGCTCGCATAGTATGGACCCTTCGGGACAATCCGACACGGCCGGAGCTAGACATCAGGCGAAGGACCAACGATGTTTTTGCTTTCCGAAACACAGGAGTGATACACCGCCAATATTAGAATTTCTTGTCAGAAAAACCGAATAACTAATTTTTGTGGTAATAATCCCAGATTGGAACCTGGGACTACATGATAGATTGCTTATTATATACTGGGTTCACATCCACTAGACCAACGAGGCAGTCGTAGAGAATATAGAGTAATATAACTTGTAATTCTTGTTACATAACGAGGTAGCAGAATTCTCACAAGTAAGTTTATGTGACTGGTGAAATGCTCCCTTTAACATTTCCTGTGACTGTTTACAGCGCGAACGTAAAATACTCTTGCAACAATGTTAAAAAGTTAACGCGTACAGTTGCGTAAAATTCGAATATATGTTATAAATGTTTTGTGCAGTCTATCCAGTTCATGTTCATTTTATTTCACTTCCGTACTTAAAGCAAGTGTAATTGTACGTGTGCTTATATGCTCTGCACACATTTTATTGTTTCAGATAATGCTGTCGTATAAAAGTGCTTGACTAAGAGTGTTATCTCTTCATTATAATAAAATTTTACTGCGCAAATATTTTCGATTAGAATGTGATAACTTTCTGTGAACAATAACCGTTACCGCAATTTAGGTATTCCTTTTATTTATTTTTGTTAAATATTATATTAGACGTAAGTACATTAGGTATACTTACTTGAAAAGGTATATTTACTTGAAATTATTTCAATTTTTATAGGTTTTATTAGTAACTATTGTTCCCCGTGACTTCGCCCACGTGTAATAATTTATGACAATTGAATTTCGTGGGTTTTAACTTTTTTGTGACTAGAAGTAACCTAAGTCACTTCTTACATCATCAGCTATCTACCAGTGCAAGCCCCATCAAAAATAATCAATATAATATATAAATACCCTACATACTATATAAATGCTCACTGCGTTGATCTAGTGGTTGCAGTAGTGCGACTGCTGATCATGAAGTCCTGGGTTCGAATTCCGGGTCAGGTAAAAAATCAATTCTTGAGATTTTCCGTCAAGGAATTCGCAATAGCTGCCCAGAGTCAGGAAGACGGCGGTGTCTCACTACCGTGGCTCGGAAAGCACGTAAAGCCCGTTGGTCCTGCGTTTGATCTCCCTGCGGTAGTCTCGGCTTACCGTCCCATCGGATTATAAGAGTGAGGGAATAGAGAGTGCACCTGTGCTTGCGCATACACTTGGGACTTGGGCACTATAATCCTGTTCTATAAAATGTCCTGCGCCGATGGCTAGTAGTCTAGTAGTCTCCGTTGAGGCTGGCCGGCGTGACCGAAATTTGGCCTGGAAGACATTATTACTATATAAATACTCTATATACTATATAAAGTACACGGATGACCGAGCTTTGCTCGGCTTTTATTTTGAAATTACATTTAGATACAAATTACATACAATATTTTTGATCTTATTGACATAATAGAAAAAACTGAACTGTTTATTTGAAAAAAAAATCATGAGTGCAATTAGTATAATTAAATTTTTCGTATTTAAAAAAAAAACTAAAAAAAAGTGCTCGAAATAATAGATTTACTCACAAAAGAAGGAAACTTTAAAAAAAAAAGGAAAAAAACCGGACCGAAGACGGGACCCGAACCAAGGCATTTAGGTTTCGCCGCCCCTTGATAACCACTTGGGCTATTACGATCATTAACTGAATGTCAAAATTTAACTTCTTACATTGTGGCAGTTTTTCATTGCTTGAAAAGACGGATAAAAAAATATTTTCTAAAAATAAATCCTAGCTAGATCGATTTATATATCGATTGCCCCCGAAGCTCCCTGGACACAAAATTTTATGAAAATCATTGGAGCCGTTTCCGAGATTCCGATTATATATATATATATAAACCGACCAAATTGGCGATATTTTGAAAATGGGCCACGTTAGAAGTACCCTTAACCGACGAGCATGTATGCGTAGATATATGGATGTTAAGGAGGCGAAAGAGGTATGTCAGGATCGTGCCAAATGCAAGTCCGTAGTCTCTGCCTACCCCTCTGGGTGACAGGCGTGAGTGTTTATATATACATATATATATATATAATATATAAAAAAAAATATATACACACACAGACAGATATATATATATATATATATATATACACAGACACACAAGAATTGCTCGTTTAAAGGTATAGGATACTCTATATGCTATATAAATACTATAGAGTGGGAAACGTCGCGTATTGCATTTTTGTAATCGTGATAGCATCGAAATTAAATGTCCGATTCGAATGAATTAATAAGTATTTTACTGCTACATAAATACCCTTGATGATAAAACTATTTATTTATTTGAACAAGAATTAATAATACGATACGAAATTGCGATGAAATTAAATTTTAGAACACAAAAGCTACTATTGTGAGTTAACTGTGATAGATATATATACCTACAAAAAAGTACTTTTTTGTAGGTAATAATGAGTACTTTAATCATGTAGTACATAATTTTTGTGTTATTAATAGTTTTCTCAGCGCACGCCAAATAATCAATTTTATAGTCAAAATTTTGCTAATTTGGATTAATTACAGTGTTGCAGTTTCGAAAATAAATTATAGCCTATGTTACTTCGTGATAATTTCGCTTTCTATTGGTGGAAAATGGTTAAAATCGGTCTAGTAGTTTTGGAACTTATCCAGTATAAACAAACAAACAAAAAATCTTTCCTCTTTATAATATTAAGTATATATTTCGTTTGTGTATTATCTTTCTTCTTCAGTTCGTAAAAGTACAAATTGACTAACATTGACTAATGTCTCTTCCATAGTATTTTCGGATTCCGATTCACTGTAGTCGCCATGCTTGAAAAGTGGGTTTGCGATCGCAACAGTTCGAAATCTTGCAAAGTTTGCGCTGCTTTCTATGGTCAGCCTGGGGATTTCATATAAGAAAGATATTAATAGTTACCCTGCAACCATCCGCTCAATTAAATGATGTTGTTCACCTCGTTTGAAGAGCACCTCCCGCCCTCCATCAATTGCGTGTACTAATCCCGTCACCACTACTCCTATATAATATCCTACTCCTAAATAAATATTATTAATATCTTTATTATGATGGATTTCCGCAAAGTAATGCCTAATTCTGTCGATTTCATATAAAAAAATTATACTGCTCGGACAAAAAAAAATCCGAGTTTTAATAATTTAAAAAAAAAACTTCATAACTAATGTTAGTACTTTTAATAACAGAGTGATTTAGTGACCATGCATAGGTGCTCGATAAGTGGACAGTTCCTATTGTCGGCGATAGCCGTCAGAACATAAAATAGACTGTCAACTCGCCGAAGACATTGGCTACTCGTAACTGGTAAATACGAAATGGTTTAAAGAAGTTTAATTAAGACGTAAAGCAAACAGACGAAACTGCTAATGATTAATTCTATAAAATTTTAATAACATTTTTTAATTTAAATCACGGATAGGATTATTTTAATTTAAACTTCAAACTTTGATTGAATGAGTTAACTATTTATTAAATGAAGACTTTCATTAAACAATATAATTCAATTGTCAAATGCATTTTCCAGACACGGACAACCAACGGGTAATCATCCACGTGAAGGATGTCAACGACGAGCCCCCTTACTTCATCAATCGGCCTCTACCAATGCAGACTGTAGTCCAGTTAAATGCGGCTCCGAATACCCCGGTTTTCACGCTTCAAGCTAGAGATCCCGACACGGATCACAATATTCATTACTTTATCGTCAGAGATCGGACCGGTGGGCGTTTTGAAGTAGACGAGAGGTCAGGCGTCGTTCGCACTAGGGGAACAGATCCTTTTCAATTAGATATGGAGTACGTCCTGTACGTGAAGGCTGAAGATCAGGTGAGAATTCTTTGAGTTTTAAAATCATGTGTCGCTGTTATGAAATATAAAAATTAACTAGTACGTATGTCACAATGCTAGAGCTTTTATGAAAAACGTAAAGTAACAGTTAATACGTCCTATTACTGGCTAGCCTCCTTTAATTTCTTATGGACACCACACATGGTCAGTTCAACTGATCAGTTCAAACCAAAACATGTTGATATTTTTTAAAATATTGAAATTTCAATATATCGATAATTATAAATATATCAATATCAGAGTTTTATATATAAGTTTATTTAACGATATATCGAAAATCCAATATTTTAAAAAATATGAACAGTTTTAGTTTGAACTGAACAGTTGGAATGATCAGTTGAACTGACCGTGTGTGGCGACCATTAGATGGTTTTCGAACAAGACAACAAGCCCCAATCACTTGTCTAAATCCACATAATGAATAAAAACCTGCAATCACTTTGTTCTGCTCCACATCACTTCTTGGCATTTTAATCCACTGTGCTGTTTTTGTTACTAGTGCTTACAACTTATGAATTTAACACGGATAACAACGCGCGTAAACGTAAAGTTTTATAAAATGTCAAAATACGCGACTAGTCTATGCTTACTCAGTGCCAAGGATTATCGCCAAGGATTAACTTTTATTCCGAGAGTAGATTCGGATTAGTTTACTCCCTCCTTACTCTATGTTTATTAATACTGAAATTAGATATTTTAAACTAGGAGTCAAGTTAATCTTGCTCAAGTCTGTGTTTATTAATAGGGCTGTATAGGTTTAAAGTGGAATAATTACATAATGAGTGAATCGGCAGTTTCATTGCTGTTACAAAGCTTTGCCTGAACAAGGCTTCAAATATATTTGTATAAAAAAGTGTTAGACTTCATTTTCAATTGCGTCACTAAATAGTATCGCACAGTCTCCAAAAATTAATTTTCTTTTAATTTTTTTTAAATTTCAAAGGTTATATCGGTATTTGTCAGTCTTTGATATTTTCTGCTTCACCTCTCAAAACATAGCTATAGGAGTATAACTGAATATCGTAAACGTTACACTCTATAACCCTTTTACGTTAAGAATATATGGGCTGCCAGAAGAAATTTTATAGTATAAATTTCGAACACTTGTTACTGCAAATATCCCTCATGGTCGTACGTTTGTGAAAGGCATTGAATAAAACCAATTTTACGAATTTTATCGCATTAAACTTATTTTAAATTTGAGATATTTAAAGTAGGTTGCAGCAAAATGTTATCAATGGAGATCGAGCTATTTGACGTCTTGATTCCTTAGATAATACTATTGTTTATAGAAAGATAGAAAAATATAAAAATACACTTTCAAACATGTGTAAAAAGCTTAACTCGCTTATAGAAATATATACAATCATTATGTAAAGCACATTAAAAAGCTTTTAAGTAATAAAAATAATAAATTGCATTTTCTTAACGCCGAAACCATGTATTTTCAGAGCGGCCGTGTTGATGAGAGAAGATTTCAGTCGACGCCGGAAGAGAGGCTCAGCATCGTAGGCGGTAAACGTGCGCCACAGTTTTATCTTCCCAACTACGAGGCGGAGATTGCCGAGAACCAAAAGAAAGATTCAGAGTAAGTGTAGATTTTCTAAATGTAATGTTTATTTGTTTGCCACTTTACTCTGCAGCTTTTTAGGACATAAAATCGTTTGAGTTGGAGCGTGCAACGTAGTATGACAGTAAGGGTTGCTTTTTGTTAAAACAGTATTTTGGTGACATGTAAATACCTAAATCTTTCCAGTGAGTAATTATATCAGTATTTTAGTTTTAATTTATTATTATCAAGTACGTACGTGTACAATTAAAATAAATATTTTCTTTATTTTCAATTTATGCACATAGTCCTCCCACATACATTTATTAACCCGTGTAGTGGCATTACCCCAAATCTTCCCGTGGGTATCGTAAGAGGCGACTGAGGGAAAATGAGGCAGAAGGAAGGAAAAGAAGCATCTTTCTGATGAACCGCAAAATTACTATATAAAACTGTGGTTGCCAACCCGCTCGCCAAGCGTGGCAACTATGGCAATATACCCTCCATGATGAGAGTTACGAAGTGATGTCTTCGAGTCTCCGCTATTTCTGGTTACGGTGGAGACCATGGTAACGGCGGGACAGGGAGTGCTCAGAATCTCGGGTGGACGTTCGTTTGCCACCTAAGACGATTTGACGTGGCAATGTACAACGCACGCACCCTGAGGACTGGTGAGAAGATCCTAGAGCTGGAAGAAGAAATATACAAGTTGCGTTGGAATATTAGAATTATCCGAGGTCCGAAGAGAGGGGGAGGACACGGTAATCTTCGAATCCGGCAACTTGTTCTATCACCAGGAGGGCGACCATCTGTCCCAAGAAGGTGTCGGATTTATCGTCCACAAGTCTCTCGTAAACAACGGTGTAAAGAATGAGAGTGTATCGACGATGGTTGAGTACATTATACTCAGAATCACCAAACGGTATTTGCTGAAGGCCATAGAGGTTTACGCACCAACCTATGTCGCACAATTCGATGAGAAGTTGGAGAAAATGTATGAGTATATATTTAGAGCCATACATTCTTCCAAAACTAGGAGGCACAAGAGAGAACGGGGCCGGAATCTGGCCGACTTCATGGTGAAAGAGTGACTCTTAGTGATGAACTTTTTATTCCAGAAACGGCCCCACAAAAAGGGAACCTGGTCGAGCCCCGACGGTTCGACCAAAACTGTCGACTAGACTGAAACTGTTCAGTGATGTTTCAGTGATCGCGAGGGTGAAAAGTGCAGCGATCACCGAATGGTTAGAGGCACACTGACCCTAAATGTTAAGTTATAGAGGTCTCGTCTAATGAAGTCAACGCTCAATTGTGCTCTAATCCAAAATCTCGAAAACTTTCAGCTCGAATTAAGAAATAGTTTTCAGTGCCTAGAAGACATCAATACAGTTGACGATATGAATGCCAAGCTCGTGGAAATTATCCATGCGGTCGGAGCTAAGTTTTGTAAGACCCTTGCCAGAAGAACACAAAAACTTTCTGATCACACTCTTAATCTTATGACTGTTAGACGGGAAATGAAGCTGCAGTTTTCAGAAGATTTGACAGCATACAGGTAACTGAACAGACAGATCTCCGAATACATGCGGTGGTACCTAAGTAACTTCAATAAAGCTTGTATTGAAAAAGTGATCGAACGGATTCAGGTTTCCAAAGTCTTTGCGAAAGATCTGTCTGCCAGAAAGAGCCAACTGTCGAGCTGAAGATCGAGTGTGTCAGCATCGTTTCCGGGACACCTGAGATTTTGAGTGAGATTGGAGGTTCTATGGCCATTGGTCATTACAAATCGTCTCGCGCACAGACTCCACAACTTCCAGCCTCCCGAACAAGCCGATTTCCGTAAAAGTCTTGTACCGTAGATCACATACATACCCTTCGGCAAATTGTACAGCGAGGAGTACAATCTGCCACTATATCTTGCGTATGTGGACTATGAGAAAGTCTTTGATCGACAGTCCCTTCAGCGGTGCCTAGTTGACTGTCGATATATCGAAGTGCTGAAGTGTTTGTACAGTAGGGCTACGATGGCTATCCGTGTACAGAACCAGAGTACTAAAACTATCCAACTGTAGAGAAGTGTAAGACAGGGTAACGTTATATCCCCGAAACTCTTCACCGCTGCATTGGAAGAAATTTTCAAGCTACTTAAAATGGAAAGGATACGGTATCAACATCAATGACGAGTACATCACTCACTTTCGATTTGCCGGAGATATAGTCCTTATGGCAGAATCGCTGGAGGACTTTAAGCACTATGCTCAATGACTTTAATAGTGCCTCCCAACGGATAGGTCTTAAGATGAATATGGACCAAACAAAGGTTATGTGTAATGTTCATATCACACTTATGCCGGTAGTTGTTGACAACACTAAGCTAGAAGTTGTTGACGAGTATGTTTACCTGGAACAAATAGTCTGAATTGGTAAGTCCAAATTTGACCGAGAGGTCAATCGATGGATTCAAGTCGGCTGGACAGTGTTCGAGAAATTACGACACATCTCGTCAGATATACCTCAAATCGCGAAAACGAAATTGTAAAACTATGGCCGTATGAGGAACCTCAAGGTCACTCAGCGAGCTATGGAGAAAGCAATGCTCGGAGTTTCTCTGCGTGATAAACTTAGTAATGAGGATATCAGCAGTAGAACTAAAATGAGCGACATAGTCCAATGGATTAGTAGCTCGAAGAACCGACAACCGATGGGGAAAAAAGGTTTTCGAGTGGCAGCCTCGTACTCGGCGTCGGCGAAGTGTAGGGTGACCCCTATTAGATGGAGTGACGACCTTGTAAGACATGCAGGTAGTTGATGAATGCAGGTGGCTCAGGCCGGACTTTGTCGCATTCCTTGGGGGAGTTCTATGTTCTCCAGCAAACTTGTAAAGGGCGCTAATGATGATGACGATGATGATCATGATACATTTATTATACCTGTGTATCTAATATCCATCTAAAATAATATACAAGATCATTTTAATTGCCATCTATCTATTTTGTACGTTCCTTTTTAATAAATGAATCATACAGTTTATATTAAGCCCTTAACTATTTGTCAAGCTTTCACTGTAAATCGTAGTTCGCTTCTGTCACGATGCGGGATCATAATGTCAATTGATTTATTATATTTAAGTACCTCATAATGTCTTGGGATTAAGTATTAGTTAGGTTTCGTATGAAAGAGACAAAAATCCACTTCTAAATCAGTTCTAATTTCAGTTTTTTCAATATTCTTTAGGCTGATAAAAACTAGGTCACATTCTACCTGATGGTAAGTAGTTATTATGGCCTGAAAACACCTAAACCTATCCTTCAATAGAAATCAAAATGCAGATGCGTTACTATCTCTAAATATTGAAATGGAATGCTTAGCTACCAGTAGATATCTGGTTCTCGTACATGAAACAGCATTTTATGTTATTTTATGCTAGTATTTTATGAGTGCCTAATCCTTACACAATAAAGTTAACTAGTAGTGCAACGTGGCTCTACTACGTAGAATAAACAGTTAGATCATTTTGTAACTTTTGTTATAATAACTGTATTTATTTCTTCTTTGACGGCTTTTGAAGAAAGAAAGAAAGATTTTTACTCTCTTTATTCACTGATAAATATTTAAAGATCTGTTGAAGAGCAAGCCAAGTAGCATGCGTACCCTAAAGAATTTTCGGGGTTGGATATATGGTGAATTTCCCCATGTTTTTCAAATTTATTCTGATCCTTGCTTTTATCTCACTCGAATTTAATTAAAGCGTTACATCGGATACAGGATAACATAATGAGAACCTCTGCGTTTCTTCGTATACTCACGGCTCTGTAATGTAGCTACTGTAGGTCTGTAGGTATATTATTATGAAAGATATTATTATTTATGTATTGTTACTTTATTTGAATATGTTTTGCTGATTACAGACAATAAAACAAACTTCACTTATATTTGATAGTAAAGTTACAGTCTTAGACATATAATATTATGTCACATTGCTGGGCATTCATTTCCGACAGGGTTATGTATTATGGTGTAATTAGTCCGTCGCACTGCTCCAGGGTGTTGGTGAACATGACCTCAAAATTTGTATAATTTCTCAGACGTGGAAGTTTTCTCATGCTGTTTTTTTATTCCTACATTTGTCTTTCAAATTAAACTTGTCTTGCAAACAATGGTATTAGTAGCGGCGGGGATCAAACTCGAATCTAGCCTCAAGTTACCGCAGCTTAAATATGACTATTATAATAATTTATATTATCCTTACTATTATAAGTTAACTTTTAAATAACGTAACCTTTTTTTTAATTCTATTTCCAGTATAATATCAGTGAAGGCGAAATCTTTCGCGGATCGTGAGATCCGTTACACATTAAAAGCACAAGGGCAGGGAGCGGGTACCTTCAACATCGGACCTACTTCAGGCATCGTGAAGCTGGCAAAAGAATTGGATTTCGAGGACTTGCGACAGCCGCACGTATATTCCCTGGTCGTGACTGCTACTGAAGATTCCGGCGGATTTTCTACTTCTGTTGAGGTTGATAATTTACTATACTAATAACGTATTAGAATATAAAAAATTATTGTAATATATAAAATATAGAAAAGAAATCTTTTAGAACCTAAATATTTATATTATATTTTAGTTTGTGTGTAGTGTGTGTGTGTGTAGATAAAATAAAATATATTAACATTTAAGTTAAGTTACTGTTATTGTTTCGATTGGTTTTGAGACCATAGTTCGATTTTGAACCCTATCATATTATTTTTCCAAAAACTAGTGTTGTATTTTTGATGTCATTTTAATTTTTTTTTGATTTTTTCCGTATCTGATCCTAAATCATCGTTTGCTCCCTAATTAGAACAGAACATAACTTGATGATGACGACTTCGTATACAGTTGCCTACGCAACTTATTCCCATTGCAAATATGATTTTTCAATCCTCAGATGAAATTTATTCATGGAATTAAGTATAGCATTAAAAATCATATTATAGTGGTATGAATAAAATAGTTCAATTTTTCCCTTTATTTCCAGTCTAACAGCCATGAGATTAAGAGTCGAAGTTTATGGGTAGTTGAGTAAGGTTCTTCTGCGACGGGTCTTGCAGAACTTAGCTCCAACCATATGGACAGTTTCAACAAGCTTGTCATTCATATTGTAATGCAATATTCTAGGCACTGAAAACGATTTTGTAATTCGAGTTGAAAGTTTTCGGGGCCTTGGATTAGAGCGCGACGGGGACGGAGCGTTCACTTCATTAGACGCAACTTCTCCAACTTTACGTTAAGGTTCAGTGAGGTTATTAACACAGAAACATCACGAGAGTCGTCGTATGAAGTCAATCTCATTTTTTTGTCGAACCGTCGCGGCTTAACCAGGTCAAAAAGAACATAAATTGATAAGGACGACTTCGTATTGCTTACACAGCTAATTCAAATAGCAAATGGGGAATTGCAAAAATGATAGTTAATTGGGGACCGATTTTTCAATCCTCAATTCATTTGATTTCATTTCCATTCCTCATTATTCGTAGAATAAAAGTGAAAAAGTAAAGTAAAGTTACAGCCTAAATACGTCCCACTGCTGGGCACAGGCCTCAGGTTTTAGGGCAAGGAAATGTTCACCGCGCTGCCCCAATACGTGTTGGCGAACTTCACATGTCTTCGAAATATTTTTTTCTTATTTCCTCATACATGCAGGTTTCCTCACGATGTTTTCCTTCACCGCCGAGCACGTGGTAAATCAGCACTTAAAATTGCAAATAACAATTTCATTGGTGCCGGCGGGGATCGAACCCGGGTTACTCACGTTCTGTTATATTTACAGCGAGCGTTAACCATCTGAGCTACCACGGCTCTTTCGTAGAATAAAGTACGACATAAACAAATAGAAAAATACAGTTGTGTAAATTAAATAGTAATTTTTTTACTTTAATTTTAGTTAGGTTATAATTTATGCGACTGGTAACTTTAATCAAATGGTTTAAAAATCAGGCTTTAATGGAACATGCTAGAACATGACATCAATGACTCTCCATTGTATTTAAATTATTCGAACAATAATTGTATTTTTAGAATTAAATTAATTGTTCTCTGAGTAAAATTTAGAAATTTAACGAAAGAAAGCAACATTTTGGTTAATTTTTGCTTTTTCCTTCCTTAGGAAACATCTTCATCAGGCCGTAATGATTCACAGCCGGATATGGTAGGGAAACCTCTCTTGGCAGGTAGACCAGAGCAGTTAAATACGTTACACACCTTTTATTTGATGCTCCTCGTTGGCGATCTGGGTATACTATACATGGTATTTTACGGAATGGTTACGTCGCCATTTATCGAGGACCATGAGATCTTTTTATATTCCTGTAGATACCGCTAACAACACTCATGGGACGATGGACTTTTGAACTGAACCCATCACCCTAAACAGATACATGCCGTGTGTTGGCGGCCTAAGAAAATCTTTTACTTCATTTTGTCCTGCGGCGATTTTATCGAGACGATTACAAGAAACGTCAGAAAAATGTTATGGCTTTCGATAGATGGCGTTATAACTCATTTCATTTACGCCCCACGTAAAATACCCAGACCAGCGACGGGCAACAGCATCAAAGTGCGAGAAATCTATCATATAAAAAATGAACGATCACAGACGCGGACATTGCAATCGTCGTCGTCGTATCCGCTTATCATACGTAAATCGTCCGTATAATATAAGAGGCAAAAGTAGTAAAGCCACTACTATCAGAACAGTGAACTTTTACGGCTTGATGATTATGATAACAGATTTATAAACTGTCATTTAATTTGAAAAAAAAAAAACAACAAAGAGAGACACCGACCAACAGGACATACTTTATCGTTTTTTTAATCTTTAGACAAAGTCTAGAATGGGAGCTAAATATGCTCAGTAGGTTTTCGGGACCGCTACATACATATACCTACCACAAATAAGTAATTAAAAAAACCAAAATAAATTTAATAAACCACCCCATAAAGTACGGTTTTTATATTTAATATAAAAATGTGAAATATTTTACTAGTTATAATTTTAATTTCAGTTGACTATCCGAGTTACCGATGTAAATGACAACGCGCCTAAATTCGAGCTACCCGATTACCAAGCGCACAACGTCGATGAAGATATCGCCAAAGGCACAAGTATACTGAAAGTGAAAGCCATGGATGCCGATTCCGGGAAAAATGCTGAAATCGAATATTTAGTTTCAGGTAAAAATAAATTTAATAATGTAGGTAAGACATATTTGTGGAAACAAATATTTTTATTTTTATATAGGTTTACAGACTCTGTAAACCTGAATAACCTGAAAGAATATGTTGATGTTGTCTCTGTAATACAGAGACAACATATTCTTGTCTACAATATTAACATCAATTGTTATAAAACTATAATGGTCATTTTATAACCCTATTTCTCGCGGCAGTGCTAACAACCTTAGCTGCGTTTTCTTGTTGAATGACTATTATATGTGAGCGAGAAAAGAACCAACACTTCGTCACCAGAGGTGACGACCGGTCACAAATATAGTTCCTTCAGAAACTAAACGGCGCGCCAAAGCTGCAAGGTCACTTCAAATTTAGTTAGCTTTAGGTATTGGTTATATTGTGTTTTATGTGGTATTTTATTGTATCTAACGTTAGTGTAAAAACAATTATCCTATCGTTGCCTTCGATAAACTTGATTAGTAACTCTGTATAACAACCAGCCCTTTCGTGGTTAATTATAAGTAGTAATTCGGCTTGTAAGCCCTATAATTACTACTCATAACTGAATTACATGTAATTTTTGATAACTCTACCCTTTTCTGATTCCTAGACGATCACTTCGCCGTAGACAACAATGGCATTATCACGAACAATAAGCAGCTGGATGCGGATAACAATAACGCCTATTATGAATTTGTTGTCACAGCGAAAGATAAAGGAGAACCAGCAAAAACTGGAACTGCTACAGTTCGAGTTTACACTAAAAATAAAAATGATGAGGAACCAAAATTCTCACAACAAGTTTACACACCCAATGTAGATGAAAATGCTGGACCAAACACTTTGGTTACAACTGTAGTAGCTTCCGATAAAGACGGTGACAATGTCCGCTTCGGGTTTGTTGGTGGTGGAACTAGTTCAGGACAATTCGTCATTGAGGAAATAACTGGTGTAATACGGTTACATAATAAACCTATATCATTAGATAGAGACAAGTACGAACTAAATGTAACAGCAATGGATGATGGTGCTTGTTGCGTGAATGGAGATGCTACAATACATACATCGACAGCTGTTGTAGTGGTGTTTATAACAGATGTAAATGATAATAAACCTATTTTCAAAGACTGTCCTACATATTTTCCTAAAGTAGAAGAAGGAGCTCCAAACGGTAGCCCTGTAATAAAAGTACATGCAACGGATGAAGATAAAGGTGTAAATGGTCAAGTAAAATATTCAATTGTCCAACAACCTAATCAGAAAGGAACAAAGTTTACAGTAGACGAGGAAACGGGTGAAGTGTCTACAAATAAAGTATTTGACAGAGAGGGCGACGATGGAAAATTTGTTTCGGTAACGGTAAAGGCTACTGACCAGGGTGAACCATCGTTAGAAGGTGTTTGTTCATTTACTGTAGAAATAACTGACGTAAATGACAATCCACCACTATTCGATAGACAAGTAAGTTAAAACGTTGTAAATACATTGAATAATAAAATATTAATATAAGAACAGCACAATTTTGCATGACAGCACTAGTAAAAATTGGCTTTTTATCTATATTTTACATAAATTCATACAGTATTTACAAAGATGAACTTTAGCGATCTTCATCTTTGAATTATGTATTGCAGAAATATGTGGAGAATGTTAAACAAGATGCTAGTATAGGAACTAATATACTGAGAGTGTCCGCATCTGATGAAGATGCGGATAATAATGGTGCAATTATTTACACCCTCAGTGCTCCTTATAACCCTGCTGATATAGAATATTTTGAGATCCAACCCGAATCGGGTTGGATCGTACTTAAGAAGCCTCTCGACGTAAGTATTAATTTAACATCCGCGTATATTAGGTAACTCACAAGCGTGAAATGATAAGATTGATGAGTGAATGAGATCAACCTAACTAAGAAGTTTGGTGGATGAGTGCTACCTACAGACCCTAGGATTCAATTGGCACATACTTTAAGTTTATTTACATGTAAATAGTTCTAAATTGTCTGCTGCTGTAAATTGCTGTGAAGAGGGGTTAATCCTGGCTGTGAGGAGTAGTTGTCCATTGAACGGCGGCCCGGCGAGGCCGGTGGGTGGGCTCGTGGGTCGCGGGCCGCCGCGCCGGGGGCTTGTTCTTCTTGCAGCACAATTACTTTCAGTTGCCGCCAGCGTCGGCTCCGCACTTAACCTTCGTTAAGATTGATTTCCGCAGCACCATCTTGCATTAACTATCTTATCGATAATTGCGACTTGTGTAAAATACTTAAAATTATTGATAAAACTGCTGTAAATATTTCACCGTTAAGACCTGTTTAGTTCTAAAACATGTACAGTTTCTGTAAGCGCACATTTGTATATTTCGCACAAAATAGTTTTGTGATTTATTTTATTGTAAGTACTCGATTGATTAATTTGAGAAGCTTACGCTTTTAAACATATCTTTCAATATTATATGTACGTACATGTTTTGTTACTAATATCAAGTTTTGTTTTTTATGTTCTGCGAGACGATGTCTCGCCTGAGGTGGTTCGATGTCCGCCTCATAATCTGTCACTGCTGCGCTAGACGACTACTCATGTCATAGAACATCATGATATATTATATAACATAATATAAATCATTGAACATTATCATCATAACTATGAATTTTTTACAGGGAGCCAGTATATTGTTATGATTTGTATTAATGTTAGTTTATAACAGAAATGGTCAGATTGCCCCTGTGGCAGTTTGGCCATTTAGCCAGTTGTGACATTATTCCTTCTGTGAAAGGGGCAGCGTTCTCAAAACCAAAATTTGTACAGTTAACCGTAACGTCCACCGTTTGTAATATATTCATTATAATGAGTGTCGTTTTGTTGTAGTCATTAAGAGGTCATTAAACATTCTTATGACAACCTGACCTTTCCGCCATGTCTTGTATGCAGAGCTGCATGCATTTGCCTGCTTTTGGTTAAGTTTTATTTCATTTTTAAAATTAGTTTAGTTTCTTTATTGTAAAAAAGTATTATAATGTACAGTCTATAATTTTCCTTATTGTACATACAAAGTGTATAATACAGTAAATATTATTATTTCTAATTTATTTCTTGCACCGTCTTATACTGGCCTAATGAAATATCTTATTGAAAGAACGAACGAATGGAGCTTGAACGTGGCAGCAGACGACGTGAGTGGACTCAATACTTATTATGTAGATAATCTCTGCAGTTCTTCTCTTGTTTTAATTTGGCTTAATGGGTGTATGAGCGACGAATGTTAGATAATTTTGTTTATGTTTAACGTAAAAACTTACAGACAATAGGTACTTTGTGAAAGTGGATATTTGTTTTTTAATTGTTTTAATTATTTCTTAGCAATGAGTACTTATGTGTTTATATTTGAGTTGTGTTATGTTTTTTTTTGTCCCCGCTGACCTCTGACCCGTGTATCTGTAGCGGGACAGGTACCGACTGCGCGTGCGTGCCTCCGACAGAGGCGACCCGCCCTCCTCTGCAGACGTGGACGTTGAATTAGACGTGGTAGACAGGAACAATAAGCCCCCCATCTGGGACATGTCCACGTATGGCCCCGTTCACATCAAAGAGAATGTCACAGTGGGTACCGTAGTGACCAGTGTGAAAGCCAGGTTGGTATAAGGCGCAGCGGGCCCCCGGGCCCGCCGCTCCTCCACTACTTAACACTACTAACGACGTGGTTTTGTCTGTTTCCATCGACTCTTTCTCCAATAGCGAGAAACGTACAAGTTGGAGGCTATGGCTCAAGACAAGGGCTTCCCACCCTTGTCCAGAACCGTGGAGGTCCAGATAGACGTAGTGGATCGTGCGAACAATCCCCCTGTGTGGGACCACACAGTGTACGGACCGATCTACATTCGAGAGAATTTGCCCGTGGGTGCCAAAGTGGTGTCCGTTAAAGCAAGGTGCGTGGCTAACTGTTCGGCACGGGCACCGCACGCAGCCCCGACCTGCACGCACAGTGCGGCGCGCGGCGCCGCCTCCGACTCGCTAACAACCTCCGATACGAAACAACACTATTCAAATTTAACTTTTCCTCAACTGTTTAATAATTGGCTTAGCGTGTTAAAGTAGAAGTTGATAGCGTGTCGGACTGGTGACAATGGTGTCTGTGCGCTGCGCGCTTCTACAACTGTCATTATTATTTGCCTCTCACTTGGTGATGAGAATTGTTACGTATCTGTTCGTAAATTACAATTGCAATGTTACGATCACATGCGGTCTAACCGTAACTCACCGGCGTGCATTTAGAAGGGCTCACTGCTTATATGGAACGGGGTCACTGTCATATACGGTTGCTTAAAAACATTGGAGGAAAAATACACAAAACTTCTTTCTTAGATGTTTTTGAGTAATTCGGATTTTATTTTGTGATAAATTGGTAGGTATCGGAATAATATATATCCGTTACATGCATGTAGGTTGAGATGTAAGTGCATATGTTTATTTATCTCCAATTTTATAACATTTTTCATAAAGATCAAAGTAGCATGTCATTCAGTAATAAATGTTTAATTTTGTAGAAATTAAATAGATAGTTTGTCTATTATTTATCATTTAATTATAATTTTACGCCAGGTTATATTGATGAAATATGATGTTATATTGATAAAATAAAACAGATTTCTTAAATTGTTACATATACATTTTGTATCAATGTTTTAATCCACAAAGATACTTCTCAACAATCAGAAAAGTAGCTAATAAAAATTCCTTTAGCAATTGAAACCTAACAATTGAATAATACATTTACCCCTACTAAGCATTAAAATATGATTCGGAAATATTTAAACTATGACATGTTTTATTCGAACAATTATTAATCCATGAATGTGCATTATTTATCGCAGGTGCTATAGATGTATTTTGCATTTTTTATTTTTTATAGTGCATCAATCACTTTGAGTGTCGGCTGTTGGCAAGCCTGGATCACATCTCTATTGTCTATCTGTGCGTCCTAAAATACACTTTTCAAACTGACATTGATAAAAAAGACGAAACCATACTAACTCACTATACTAATCATTTTTCATATGCAGACATTATATTTTCATAATGTAACAAGAAGTAATTATGTTATGGTATAAGGCGATGTCAACAAACTTTGAATTTCTTCTAAAACTTTTGTCACAAGACGGAAATTTTGGGAAACTAAATTTAATAGTTTATCCATTTCTTAAGTATTATGAGTAACATTTTTCTTTTTCCTACCAAATAGTATCTACTTAGTATATCCATGTGATTTATACTTTTAATATATCAGAGTATGAATAAGAGTTTATTTTTCAATTATTTCAAACTATTAACTTTTGAATGATTAGATTTTCATTAGAATACCAATGCCATCTCAAAATATTATTTTATTTTAGTTCATTTGATTCCGTATTTGATGTCGTCATGTGCCTATAGTAGCAGTTTATTTTATTTAGTATTTTTAAAGTTAAAGAAAACTTCATCAACTTGTTATATTTTCAGTTCTGGGATTGAGAACAACCCCACAGTGTTTTATCGATTGATGCCTGGTTCCACGGCCCAAACTAACAAGTTTCATACATTCTACTTGCAACAAAGATCTGATAACGGATTTACGTGGGCCGATATAAAAGTCAATCATCCTTTGGATTACGAAAGCATCAAGGAATACAATTTGACGATACGAGTAGAGGTAAGAACTTACTTGAACTTTTTATATGTACCAAGTTTTGTAATTAAATTGTATTTTTGAGGTTATCGGGTGTTACGACATGTACGTAATTAGTATATCTATACTATTTATCTGCGAGGTAAAAACGAAATAAACCTATAAAATCAATAAAACCGAATTAATTTTTTTAGACTTAGACTTGAATAAAACTATTATTTACGGATTTTATCTCATTTAATTACTTTAATTTATTTTTATTATTATCCCGACGTTTCGGGTGCTTTACAGCGCCCATGGTCACGGGGGGGGACTGAGATGTTTGACGTCCCAATGTCATAGTTAGTCCGGCTACCTTCAGTTTTTTAATATTAATTTTTGGTCCGATTTACGCAAAACGAGGTTATAGTATCATGAAGTCTTGCAGTGGTATGCTTGGGTTTGGGTTTAATTTTGTTAATTATAGGATCCCAAGCAGATGGTAGCACCCAACCATCTTCTCTATTGAAATTTGGATGTTTTTTAATTTCAATAGCCTCGCGTATCATCCTTGGTAGGAATCGGTGTTCTTTTGCGAGAATTTGTGGTTTATCAAATCTAATGTAATGGTGGGGACGATCTTGAACATGTTCGCAGACTGCAGACTTCCCGGAGCATCGGTGCTTCACATCAGCTATATGTTCCTTCACGCGGGTTTTTATAGATCTCTTTGTTTGACCTATGTAAGAGAGACCACATTCACAATCTAGCTTGTACACACCTGCATCTTGTAGAGGAATATTACATTTGATGGATGGTAAAAATTGACTAATCTTCTTCAGCGGCTTGTAGTATGTCTTAATGGACGCTCGCTTCAAGATGTAGCCAATCTTGTCCGTGACTCCTCTAACATATGGTAGTAGAGCAGGCGCGCGCTCGACTGCGGCCGGCTTCACTCGTTCACTGTGACGTAGGCGCGAGACCCGAAGCTTGTTGTCTTGTAGTACTTGCTTGACGTGCTGAAGCTCCGCGGCCAGATGTTTTCTGTCACAGATCCCTCGTGCTCTCTGAAACAAAGATTTACCCACGGTAGCTAACTGTGAAGGATGATGGTGAGATTCACCATTTAAATATCGGTTGGTATGGGTCTTTTTCCTATACACAGTGTGACCAATAGTGTTATCAGGATTTCGGATGACTAAAACATCTAGGAAACCTAAAGAATTATTTGCCTCTAACTCCATTATGAATTGTATTTTAGAGTTTATGGAGTTAAGGTGGTCTAAAAATGCAGTTACTTTGTCAGATGGTAAAATTGTGAAAGTGTCGTCTACGTACCGCTTGCAGAACCTTGGATTTACAGGAGCAGTAAGAAGGGCTTTCTCCTCAAAGTCCTCCATGAATATGTCGGCGACTATGGGAGACACAGGTGAGCCCATCGCCACACCATCTACTTGCTTGTAGAACTCCTCCTTCCACAATAGATAGCCAGATGTGAGGCAATGTTCAAGTAGTATTGCATATTCTTGAGGCATGTTATTTTCTTCTAGCTTCCTAGTTACAATTGAGATGCAGTCATCAATAGGTAGGCATGTAAATAGTGACTGAACATCAAAACTGACCATAGTTTCATTGTTAGCGAGATGTAGGTCTTAGAAGATGAGAAGATGGTTGGGTGCTACCATCTGCTTGGGATCCTATAATTAACAAAATTAAACCCAAACCCAAGCATACCACTGCAAGACTTCATGATACTATAAGCTCGTTTTGCGTAAATCGGACCAAAAATTAATATTAAAAAACTGAAGGTAGCCGGACTAACTATGACATTGGGACGTCAAACATCTCAGTCCCCCCCGTACCATGGGCGCTGTAAAGCACCCGAAACGTCGGGATAATAATAAAAATAAATTAAAGTAATTAAACGCGATAAAATCCGTAAATAATAGTTTTATTCAATGTGTAGTGTTCGCGTAAATTTAAGAAATCATTAGACTTAGACTTTTATACTGTGTTAAGAGGGCATATGCGTTTCGCGTCGAAAACTACATGTTTTATGGTTTTTCCAAAGGCGATATCGTAACGACGTGAGGAGATTATTTGCTGAAAATTAGGGCTTTAGAAAGATGAAGTCTTTAATTAGTACATAGCAATGCAAAATAATAGTTTTTAATGACGGTTTTTTAGGGTGAAGACAATCCCTTCACAGCGTTTTACGAAAATATGCATCAGAGTTATCTTTCAGGTTGAATACAACCATTATTATAAGCTAAAATACTTTATTTTAAGCGTTATTATAATGGAATATATAGTCTTTTAGTGTATAGCAAAACCTAAATTACGAAAATATAACGATTTAATATTATAAAATAATATTATAAAATCACCAAAACTGTCTACTTCAATGTAATTTTTTCCATGTATTTGCTTATAAACATATCTATTTTAATTATTTTATCAAAATACATGTAATGTTAAATATCCAATAAAATTTTTAGCTCGTTTTATTTTGTCAATTATTTTATATAATTGTTACGCGCTCAACGTCATACACTAGCGCCATCTAGTGTCAGGAACGAGAGCGAGGGGAGCTTTGCAGAAAATGACATCACAAATCTTTCAACCGACAGCGCCTAGTCGAAACTCGAACGCTCGGTACCTTGCGCGTGTTTACTTGAACATTCTGGATATTTCTTTGCTAATTTATATAAATAGGCGCTGCAAGATGCGATCGAGGCAGTGTTGATTTGGCGAGACAAGCGAAGCTTCGGAGCGGAATAAAGTGAATTAGTGTGTTCAATTATTGGTGTTTTAAGTTTTAATTTGTGTAAAGTAAATTAAAGTGTTAATTTAGGTAATTTTATCGGCAATTTTTATTGTCACGAACCTCAAGCTCGTAACAATTGGTGTCAGAAGTGGGATAAAATCATGCCGATTTTACCTAAGGAGGAAACGGAGGGTGTCCGTACCCGAAGTCAACGCCAGCAGGAGACGGACCAACGAAGATTTGGTGGTGCAACGCCGCAGACGTCGGAGGGCCAGCCACCAGCTGCAGGCCCGTCGGTAGCTCCTACATCTGCAGCACCTGACTTAGGTGCTCTGATGGTGATGCTGGAGGAACAGGCCCGTTGGTTAAAAGAGCAGCAAGAGGTACAGGCTCGCCGACAAGAGGAACAGGCTCGCCAGCAGGCGGAACAGGCGCGCCGATTGGAAGAGCAGCTGCGGGGCGGACAAGAGGAACAGGCCCGTCGGTTGGAAGAGCAGATGCTCCTCATGAAGGACCTTCACGCTACCTTCGGGAAGGAGATAAAGGAGGTGAAGGATAGGGTTGCTCAGCATGACAACCGCCTGTCGGAAGCTGAAACCCAAATCGCGAAAGCTGAAAACCGAATCGAGAAAGCTGAAACCCGAATCGACCAAGTAAACAATCGGGTTGACAACGTAATGGCGGACATGAAGAAATCACTAGACGAACTCAAACTTGGGGATGGAACTACAGCTCTCGTAGTAGCTACAGCACCTTCGCTACGTGGATTCAAAGTGCCGCCGTTCGACGGGACTTCTTCCTGGTCGGCCTACAAAATCCAGTTCGAGGCCGTCATGGAGGCAAACGGCTGGAATAAAAGCCAGGCCATGACTGCACTCACCTTAGGCCTGCGCGACCAAGCCTTAACCGTGTTGGAAGCTCTCGGTAAGAAAGTGACCTACGAGGAGCTCCTTGAGGCATTGGAGGCGAGATATGGTGACGCTCACCTGGAACACGTCTTTCGCGCGCAGCTTAAAGATCGCGTGCAACGCAGCAACGAAAACCTGCAGCAGCGGGCCCTTGAAGTGGAGAAGATGGTTCGAAAAGCATACCAGTCTGTACCTGCGCTCATTGAAGGGAACCTGGTGCAGACATTCATCGACGGCATCCGTGACCTGGAAGTCAGAGCTGCTGTGAGGCTTGGGCACCACGGGACGCTTAAGGACGCCTTGGCCCATGCACTGGAGGTGGAAGCCGTGCGGCAGGATCATCGTTACCATCGCGTCAGGGAGGTTGCGCAGCTACAGTTCGCGACCGCAACAAAGGATACAGCCCTAGGTGCTATGGCTGTGGGGAAAAGGGCCATCTTCGTTCCAGCTGCCCTAAGCGAACCGTGAAAAGGAGAGTTAATCGATCTCGAGAGGGTAGTGCAGCTAACGGCACTGCCTGGCGGCGACAGGATCATCGTTCACCTCACGCTAGGGAGGTTACAGCAGTTACGGTTCGCGACCACAATAAAAGATACAGCCCTAGGTGCTATGGCTGTGGGGAAAGGGGCCATCTTCAGTCCAGCTGCCCTAAGCACACCCTAGGAAGGGAAGGTGAACGGTCTCAGAAAGGAAGTGCGGCTAACAGCACCGCCCAGCAGCAGCAGGAATACGACTTTACTATCAGACACTGCAGCGGGAAATCTCACGGCAACGCAGATGCATTGTCAAGAAGACCTTGTTCTGAAGATTGCAAACATTGTAGTAGGCAAGAGAGTAAGGAAGTGGTATCCGTGAGAATGCACAGGACAGACCACCTCAGCAACGGGTGGAAGGACAGCCTACGACATGCACAGCAGGAAGATCCGGACATCAAGCCGATTCTGGGATGGATGAAGGCCCGTGCTACCAAGCCTAAGTAGAGGGACGTCTCAGCGATGAGTTCAACCACGAAAAGCTATTGGGCCCAATGGGACAGCTTGCTGCTTCAGGATGGAGTCCTGTGCCGTAAATGGGACAATGGTCGAGGATATAGCTGTCGTTTGCAAATGGTTGTCCCTAAAGCTAAAGTGCCGAATGTTCTACAGCTGTGCCATAATGGTCGTTCAAGAGTCCATCTGGGAGTTAAACGAATTCTACTGAAGGTCCGAGAACAGTTTTACTGGGTCCATTGTCGTGACGATGTCGAGGATTGGTGTCGTACATGTACAAGTTGTGCGGCCGTGAAGGGACTCAGACACGTAATAGAGGAGCATCGAAATTGTGCAATGTTGGTGCACCATGGGATAGGACAGCCCTAGACATTGCGGAGC